AATCTCTTCCCCTTTCACCCATCTTTAACCCCCCTCCCATTTTAAAGAAATCTCTCTTAAGAGTCCTTTTAATACTGGTTTTGTGTTGATGAACTCCTTCAGCTTTTTCTTGTCTGGAAAGCTCCTCATCTGTCCTTCAACTCTAAATGATAGCTTTGCTGGGTAGAGCAATCTTGGTTGTATGTCTTTGCTTTTCATCACTTGGAATATTTCCTGCCACTCCCTTCTTGTCTGCAAAGTTTCTGTTAAGAAATCAGCTGCCAGTCATATGGGGGCTCCCTTGTAGGTATCTAACTGCTTTTCTCTTGCTGCTTTTAAGATTCTCTCTTTGTCTTTAAACTTCAGCATTTTAATTATGATGAATCTTGGTGTTGGCCTTTTTGGGTTTACCTTGTTTGTGACTCTCTGTGCTACCTGGGCTTGTATGTCCATTTCCTTCACCAAGTTAGGGAAGTTTTTGTCATTGTTTCTTCAAATAGGTTTTCAATTCCTTGCTCTGTCTCTTCTCCTTCTGGTACCCCTATAATGTGAATGTTGGTATGCTTGATATTGTCCTGGAGGCCCCTTAAACTTTCCTCAAATTTTTGGATTCTTTTTTCTTTTTGCTGTTCTGGTTGGGAGTTTTGTGCTACCTTTTCTTGTACATGGCTCATTGGGTCTTCTGCTTCATCTAATCTAGTGTTTATTCCCTATAATATATTCTTTGTTTCCATTACTGTATCCTTTATTTCTGATTGGTTCTTTTTTATGTTTCAATCTCCATTTTTATGCTTCCTATCTCTCTGTTGAAGTTCTCTCTGAGATCATTGAGCATTCTTATAGCCAGTGTTTGAAACTGCATCTGATAGATTGCTTATCTTCATTTCGTTTAGTTCTTTTTCTGGAGCTTTGTTCTATTCTTTTATTTGGGACATGTTTCTTTTTCTCCCCATTTTGGCTGCCTCCCTGTATTTGTTTCTATGTATTAGGTAGGGCTGTTATGTCTTCCAGTCTTAGTAGAATGGCCTTATGTAGTAGGTGTGCTGTGGGGTGCAGTGGCACAGTCTTTCTGGTCACCTGAGCCACATGCTCCTGGTGTGTCCCTTGTGTGGATTGTGTGTGCCCTCCTCTTATAGTTGAGCCTTGGTTGAAAATTGCACATCAGTGTGAGGGACTGACCCTTGGGCTCACTGGTTGTGAGGACTGACCTTGACCACAGTGGAAGAGTTGTTGTGCAGGGGCCGACCCTACAGAGCAGGATCTGCCTCACCTGGACTCTGGTGCCTGCCTGATCAGCCCCTTGGGTGTGTTGTACTTGGAGGCGGCTGGGTCATGCTCCAGTTTGTTTTGAAGCTGGTTTTTGGGGGCACCAGCCCCAGGACCACCTTGGAGGAGATCCACTCTAGGTCAAGTTCAGCCACAGCATGTGCCCCACCCAGGGCCACCTGGCAGGAGCCACAAAGAAATCCACAGATGGCTGCCACCCATGCTGTGCTTGCAAGTGCCTTGAGAGGCCAAATCGCATACCAAGGTTGGCTGAGCTAGTGCCAGCTTAGGGCTGCTCAGCCAGAGGTTCAGGACATGCTCAAGCCAGATGCTGCTTGTCTGGGTTCCGCGACCTTTGAGACCGTAAGAAAGGCTGCAGATTGAGCCAAACAGGCCATCTGCACGAAAAAGCCACTGAAAACAGCCTGGGTGTGCCTGAAAGCTGGGAGGGGCCAGGTCTTAAATCACCAGGGTGTGGAGAACTAACAGCGGAGACTCAGATATGGCGGCAGCCTGTGTTCACATGCTGGGAAGGAGGAGGGTTTAACAAAGAAACAATGGCCTCTACCAGCTCCCCCGTGCAGGAGAAAGTTGCCTCTCCGGCTCCCATCCCAAGCCAGACAACTCAGTCCCCCACGGTATGTCCCTGCTGCCTTTCCAGCTGCTGCCCCAGGGCTGGAGCTCAGAGCGAGTGATTCTGTTGGTGGCTAAATCCACGCGGAATCCCTTTAAGAGGAGCGCCTGGGAGTGCAGCCACCCTCAGTCTCACTCAGTCACAGTCTCCACTGGTTTTCACAGCCAAAAATTATGGGGACTTCTCTCCCCGGCACTGGAACCCTGGGCTGGGATCTCTCACTCCTTTAGGGAATGGGGGACGCCCCACAGCCGAAATAACCCTCCCAATTTTAATGGTCACATGCAGGGTGGGACCACCCTTTTCCACGTCTCTGACCTTCCTACAAGTCTGGAGGTGGCTTCTTTTGCACATCCTTAGTTGAAAGGCTTCAGTTCAGCTTAATTTTAGGCGATTCCCAATAATGGTTGTTTTGTAGATTAGTTGTAATTTTGATGTGGTTGTGAGAAAAAGTAAACACAGCATTTACCTACTGCATCATCTTGGTTGTCTCTTGAACATTTATTCTTTAAGTTATATACTATTGTAATCCAGTGTAAATTTTTTTAAAATATTTTTATTGGGGAATTGGGGGGGAGGGGAACAGACAAGTTGCTGTACTTTTGTTCTTCA